AGAGAGAGAGAGAGAGAGAGATTGTAAAGACATACACAGTGAAAGTTCCGCCAACTTTTCCTTTGCTGACTGCTTGACCGCAGCCTATTTTTCGTGTCTCTCGCCATACCTGTCATTAATTCAAACATTTATTAAAATGTATTTTTATTCAATTTTCTATTAATTGTTTTAAAATATTTTAAATCATTTCATCACAAAAAAATAATTCCGTTAAATCAAGTATAGTATTTGAGACATAAAAGCAAATGATATTATTTAACACTTGTTAAATAATAGTTTGCAAAACTTTCATTCCTTATGACAATCAATTCAATCGTTACTTTTAACAATATCTACAAAATTACTTAATTTTGCAATTTTTTCAATTTCAATGCTAACGACTTTACTTAGAATATAAACGATTAATTTATCGTTTAAATAATCAAAATGCTATCAATAAATATATAATAAATTCATCACAAGATTACTGATGGTAGTAATAATCATTTGGGATAATAATAAGCACATGTAATATTACCATTTGAGTGAAGTGGCCGTTTCTGGACGTAATGTTAGGCTTATTAAAGTTATAAATCTTCCACTCGTCGTACCATAGCTTGAGGGGAACCCGACAGTTGACATTGACAATAGAGTTCCATGCTAAGTTCTCGCCATATTGCAAATCATCAGGGTGGAAAAAGTTGCGGCCGTCTTTTTTGGCCATTTCCGCCGCACGATATCGTGCGAAGTCTTCCAACTATTCGTTTAAACATTTCAATTATTTTTAAAATACTTTATAATTATATTGTAAAATATTATTTTATTCGTTTTATAATTAAATAGCCATAATGATAAATATTCTTTAAATTAATGTATGAAATTAATAATTCATCATTTATTTAGTCAATGTTTTGGTCACGACTTTTGATGTGATTTTTAAAAATATAAAAATTAAGGTCATTTGGTTTTATAATAATCACTATCGCTATTATTATTTCGATTTAATTTTTAAACTGATAGTTGTGTCCATTTTTATTCCTAATATTATAGTTAACTATACTTAATAACTAATCTCAATTAATATCTATTACCCAATAAAATCATCATAATTTTAAAATATAAATTATCAAGCTAATCTAATGTATTGTCTTACTTATTATTTATTTATTTTACATTTGAGTAAGTTTAGTTTTCAAGTATTAAAAGTACAATAATCTTGATTAACTATAAAGAAAGTATATTTTCGTAGAGCTGATGATAATAAAAATGACAAATAATTTACTTTAGCGCTGTGTTTGAGTGTCGGCGCGCCATGAAGTTTGCGGTAATAGTTATGCCATTTTATGCAATCCACTTGAAATTTACCCGTAGAGGTGTCCTCGTATTCATTGTCATCCTCTATAGCGCCCAACACTGTATACAACGTATTGACAAAACAAAAATATATTATTTTGTTTTTATAATTATTTATGAAATAAAAGTCATTGTCATGGAAATAAAAAAAAAGAATAAATATTTAGTGAATATTTTTCTGATTCTTATTATATGCATAAAATGTAACATGAAATTTTTAAATAAATTATAATTTATATTTTTTAATAATTGCCAAAACATACCAATGATGACAGGGATGTATGAAATGGCTATTAAATTAACAATTAATGTATTAAAATACATATTTTGTTTATCAAATGAGAGAAAACAGTATAAAATATGTTGATATTAGGAAACGATGTCAACAGTTTGAACAAACTTTGAAAGAGTGGTAAACAGTTAAATATTACACCGATATGAAATATGTTAAGTCAAAAGATTTTGGAAGTTTTATATATAGCGTCAGAAGAATTGTTTTTATAAAAATATTTGATCATTACTTGTAAAGTAAGGATAAGAATAATAATAAGACATATTATATGCAAAGAAAGAAAAAGCTTTTTTCAGTTTTATGTGCAGTTTATCTCTCGTATAATATAATGGAGTCCTTGAGAATCGGTTCATAATATAATAGTTATGTATGTTTAACAATAAATAAAGTATAAAATTTTAAATTTTATAAAAAATAATAATTATCGATGAGCAAGGTTATCTGTAATTTACATGTTATACATCACTTAATCACAGTAATTGATTGATAAACATAATTATAAAACTCATAATTAATTTAATAATATTTATTAATAAATACAAAAAGCTATTAAAAATATTTTTCAGTTTTTACTACACTTTGCATATCCTATAAAAATGAAAGTAATTTGGGAGTAGAGAGAGAGAGAGAGAGAGAGAGAGAGAGAGAGAGAGA